TCTATCTATCTATCTATCTATCTATCTATCTATCTATCTATTCATCCATCCAGCCACCCTATTCATTTATATCTATGTGTCTCTGTCTATCATTCTATGCTATCTATCTATTCTCTATCTCTACCTTTATTCATCCACTCACCCTATCTATCCAAATCCCTTATCTATCTATCTGTCTATCTATCTATCTATCTATCTATCATCTATCTACCTATTTATCATCTATCTCTATGTATGTATGTATGTATGTATGTATGTATGTATGTATGTATACTATTCAAGGGAGAAGACTTAGCTTCCTGTCCTCTCGTCACCTGTCACAGAGAGTCACTTGAAGCTTAGGGTTCCAAGCAGCCCACATGGACACAGGAACCTGCCCATCCAGAGAAGTTCTGGGTCATGGGCTTCTTGACTTTTATCAAGTAGTCAGTATCAGAACCCCACAGTTCATCAGCCAGTAGGGGCAACACTGCCATCCTGAGGCAATTTGGAAATCTGAGAGCAGAGTTGGTTATCACAGGGACACCAGAGGCATTCAATGGGCAGTGGGCAAGGATGTCGATAGCTCTGATTACAGGGAATTCTCCACAAAATATCTCTCACCTCAAATGCCAGTTGTGCCCCTGATGAGAAACTCTTCATTAGGGAGTCACAGAATCTGTTAGTTAGCTCATAAGAGATAAGTCTTCGTAGATAGGATAATTATAACTATTGGTTGGTACAAAGGTAATTGCGGTTTTTGCCACTGAGAGTTATTAAAAGTAGGCCGGGCACAGTGGCTCACACCTGTAATCCCAGCACTTTGGGAGGCTGGTCACGAGTTCAGGAGTTCAAGACCAACCTGACCAACATAGTGAAACCCCATCTGTATTAAAAATACAAAAATTAGCCAAGCGTGGCGGCACATGCTTATAATCCCCGTTACTCAGGGGGCTGAGGCAGGAGAATCACTTGAACCCAGGAGGCAGAGGTTGCAGTGAGCCAAGATGGACCCACTGCACTCCAGCCTGGGCAACAAAGCGAGACTCCATCTCAGAAAAAGAAAGAAAGAAAGAAAGTTATTAAAAGTAATGACAAAAACTGCAATTACCTTTGCACCAACCTAATATTTATATTGTTAATAGTAAGACCTACTCGATGAAGCTGGTGAGGATGAAGCCACTGATATCCAGGTCTGGCTTCACTGAATATAAAACAAATAGCCAAGAGTCCCACGAAAGCAGATTTCTGAGTCCAAAGCTCCAGTGGTTTAATTCAATAAGTATGTGCTGAGATCTATGAATTGCGTTTCATAGCATGTGATGTGCTACAAAAAGACTGCTAGGGGACCCTGAGGCCCAGTGTGTGGGTGGGTACGTCACTGTTTGAAAAGTGGAGAAAGTGAAGGCAGAAGCCACAAAGGCAAGACTTGAATATGCACAGGTATAAGGCAGAGCCAGCAAGTTGGAGAACGGCAGAACATTTTTATGAAGTTGGTAGGGGTCATCGGAGCAGTACTTAGGGAAGTTCATACGTCATGGCTGGCAGGGTTCCCCACGTGTACCCCGTATGGGATACAATTCTGACTCAGATGTGGCTGATACTCTCTTTATTCTAATTCTCCATCCCCCACCTATCCCATTGTTTCTAACCCTGCGTGATCTGGAGCTCTCTGTTTCTGATGAAAGGTTATCTTTGTCGAGTTTCCTGGTTTCTACCTCCATTTCCTCACAAAAGGCATCCCTGGCAAGCCCACTTCTCTCAAGATTCTGCGTGATGTGACCCACTGTCTTCTCACATCCTTGACAGCCAGACCCATACAGGCTGATCTGTTTCTGTTTTCTTATGTTCCTTTTCTTGCCCTTTATGTAGACATATGGGTTCCTACCTGCCTTTTGTCAATTGTGTATAAGAACTGGAGTTCCCCTAGACCAAGTCCTCATTCTGTTGCCTACCCCACCCTCCTCACCAGCATTCTTTAGCTCTTTAACTCTTACAATGGTGTGATTATCATAAAGGAGGCTATTTACTGAGACATACAAAGGACCATAATGTTCCATAACAAGCAACATTTATTTGCTGCTTGTAAGAGGTGTGAACCCACCATTAAACAGTGAGTATATCTTTTGTGTCAAGTTCTAAGCTAAGCATTGTGCAAAATATAAATATCACTCAGATGAATATAAAACAAGCTTCTTGCTCTCAAAAGTCTACAATGTAGTTAAGAAGTTGTATCTGGCTGGGCACGGTGTCCCATGCCTGTAATCGCATCACTTTGGGAGGCTGAGTTTGGTGGATCACTTGAGGTCAGGAATTTAAGAACAGCCTGGCCAACATGAAGAAACCACCTCTCTACTAGAAATACACAAATTAGCCAGGTGTGGTGATGCGTGCCTGTAATCCCAGCTACTCAGGAGGTTGAGGCAAAAGAATCGCTTGAACCTGGAAGGCAGAGTTTTCTAGCCTGGGTGGGTGATAGAGCAAGACTCCATCTCAAAAAAAAAAAACAAAAAAAAAAAAAGAAGTTGTACCTTGAATCCGTCTTTCAGGTTAAAACAAAAACAGTGCTGTTATTATCTGAAGAAAGATGAGAATAAGGGGAAGTTGAAATGTCCTCTTTAAGTCCTCTCAATTTATGTTCCAACAGCTATAGTTGTCATGTGATTCTGAAATTGTAGAAAACACTGAGGTGTACCGGTCTAATATCCTGAAATGTAATCTTACTCCTTCCTCCCCTCTCTCAGTGGGAATGACATAGGAGGGAAGGAGGGACTCCCTGGGTGTTTCTTCCTATCCTATTACCATGCATCTCATGTCTGCAGTCTCTCCCTGGCTTTGTCTTTGAGGAGTGCTTAGGAAATGGCAAGACTGATGTTGAGGGTTGGGTGTCGAGTGCATGAGGTCATGAGTTCCGGGTGTTGATTGTCATCATCCATGTCAATATGAAGAGAACAATTTTTGGAAGTTTTCCAAGTGCTGGGAAGGTGTGCAAATTCCACTAATTTCTCTTCTCATTCTACATTTCTCTAATAAGCCAATAACATTATTTAGGGCCTGTTCAGGTCATCTGTCACCATGCAGCTCCAGTATCTGTGTGAGTTGCATTCTCAGTAGGTGTCTGTTTGCTGTCTTATATATTTGTGTGGGACATACAAATTATATTTATGTTTTACAGCTATATCGAGCTTACGTGGCCTTCCCAGACTTTTTCCGTAATTCAACTGCCAAGTGGTGGAAGAGGGAAATAGAAGAACTGTACAACAAT